ACCGCTCTTAAGACAAATTAACACTGAAGTTACAGTAATTTTGGAGGACCAGATTCACAGATAGCTGTGCAAAATACAGTGGTTAACACAAGCTGCAAGGCTAAGTGAAAAGATTGTTGCTCGCTGAGAATGTTTCCTTCACTCAGCAGCACAAAACAGACTCCTGTGAGCCAACTAGTTTAATGGACCCTAGGCAATCTGAGAAAGATTTCTGAAGAGAACATTGCAAAGGAATTTAAGAAGAATTGCATGAAGAATGCACTGTTTTAGAAGATGCTCCGTTGAGTGTAGGTGGTTATGAGAAAGGGGAAAGTGCAGAAAGTAAGTGTGCAAAATTGCTTAGTTCTGAATTGCTTTAAAGTTCTGAACATTTTAACCTCATATAACAAAAGATATAACATTTGTTAACATTTGTATTGTAACTTAGTGATCATCTTATGCATAAGGGTAAATTTTTGTCTCCTGGCTTAAGACAAAATTCAGCCATTGATTTACACTAGATATCAAGGCAATTCTGGGTTAAGTATTACACAAACACAGCAACAGGTTGTACACTGCACACCTCAGGGCAATTACTGCATGCCATGTGCTTTTCTATTCTATGCAACTTGTTTCATCATGTAGTCATTCCAGTTATGGGTCAGAGGCATGAAGATGTGGTATAAAATGAAAAAGTCCCTGGGCTGCATCACAAGTGTGGCCAGCAGGTCAAGGGAGGGGATTCTTCCCATATACTCTGCTCTGGTGAGACCCCACCTGGAGTGCTGCGTCCAACTGTGGAGCCCTCAACATCAGAAGGATATAGACCAGTTGGAGCGAGTCCAGAGGAGGCCACGAAGATGATCAGAGGGCTGGAGCACCTCTCCTATGAAGAAAGGCTGAGAGAGTTGGGCTTGTTCAGCCTGGAGAAGAGGAGGCTCCGGGGAGACCTTATAGCCCCTTCCAGTGCCTGAAGGGGCTACAAGGAAGCTGGGGGGGACTTTTTACAAGGGCCTGTAGTGACAGGACAAGGGGGAACGGGTTTAAATTGAAAGTGGGGAGGCTTAGGTTAGATACCAGGAAGAAGCTCTACCCGGAGAGGGTGGGGAGGCACTGGGACAGGTTGCCCAGAGAAGCTGTGGATGCCCCATCCCTGGAAGTGTTCAAGGCCAGGCTGGATGCAGCTTGGAGCAACCTGGTCTGGTGGAAGTTGTCCCTGCCCATGGCAGGACACATGGCAGGGGGGATGGAACTAGATGGTGTTTAAGGTCCTTTCCAACCCAAACCATTCTGTGATTCTATGATTCTATGACTGAGAACCTACCCCTTGTTTTATAAGTTCTGGAGACTGTGAATATTCAGCAGCCAGGCACAGGGACCAGTGTTTTATCCCTCGAACAGGGAGACAAGAGAAGCTAATGGATTCTCCTCCCAAGCACTGTACAGAACAGCAGATTTTCATTCAACATTTCCTTCCTTCATTTTCTGCAGCATTTTGCTCCCTGCAGTAGTCCATAATACCAGTGTTTTTCACGTGCAACTCTTTCGCCTCAGCCAGGCCCCAGCAATCAACCAGTGCTCTCCTCACTGGTCCTCTGACCCCATGCCCATTACACAGGTTCCCTCACATCAGTTTTGCTTACTCCTTCAGCTCTTCACTGGCTCCTCCTCATACCAGCCCGCTCAGTGAGGGCTCTCCTGCTTCCTCATGGTGGGATCTTTAAGACTCTCTTGTGTTATCAAAGGTTATAAGATGGGGCCTCCCACCATGCCCCACATGTGCTAGAACAATAGCCCTGTATGGGTTACCCCTCCTACCATGCTCATCGTACCTGCATTCCCTGTGGACCAGTCAGTGCTGGGATCCCAGCTGGTATCTCTATGGCTGCTGAGGCCACGTGATTAGACTTTGAAAACACAGCACTTCCAGGCTATTTGAAAACACTATGAGCACTATGAGATAGCTGTGCGACAAGACACTCTGTTGTCCCTGCTCCTCTAAATTACTTCTTCATATCCATAAATAAGATAATTGCCATATTGCTAAACACTCATTTTGTGAGGAATGCAGCACACTTGTTGGCTGCTGCTACTGCAGACTTCTGATGCATAGCTTCATGTCTGAAATAAACATAACTACAGGCCTGCCTAAATACCTCCACCTTCCCTGACTTACAGTTCAATTTTCACTGAATGGCTCAAATTAGCAGAAAGTACACACAGTAACAGAAGTCCCAACCATAAACTTCATTGTTCTTGAGGGATTTCAAAGACCTCTCTTGTTTGCTGGTGTCTTAGAAGAGAGATGCTCTCTCTGATGCAGTCTTCTCTTTGAACAGCCTCCCAAACAGCAGCGAAAGGGCAGGAGGCTTTGCATCATTAAAGGCCCTGTATTGGGTTGTTGCTGAGCAGCTTAGTAAAAAGACGTATTACAGAAAAAGTCAATAGCAGCAATATTTATTTCAGTTGTGAAATTCTACAATGAAATGGAAAATGGATTTGAGAAATCAAAAAAATGTCTCAGATGTGACATGGACAATTATCAAGACAATTCTTTTAGAGGAATGCCCTTTCCCCACTAAAGCCCAGTGCTGCAGAACAATCCAGTAGCATCTGGACTCGCATTCCTGGGCATTAAATATTGCTGACTTTCCTCAATAAAGATGTGTTGTGTATGTCTTCTGTTTTTTTGATCCCATAGGACATGCAAGCCCATTTGAAAGCTTTTCTCTTTAACCAGGAGAAATATTTCTAACTAGAAATATTTTTGTCTTTTAATGCAGGCTTTGATTCTGTTGCACTTCCCAGTTCTGTTGCACTTTCCAGTTATCAGCAGTTGGAGAGTGAAATTTAATCAAATATTTGGAAATGCATTGTAAATTGGGAGCTCACATCTGCAAATACCCAACGGATAGATTTTGAAAACATGATGCATTGCTCTTACAAAACAGTCATTGATTCCTGTTTCTGTGATGTAGATAGGAATCTTTAAAATGAAGTTCTGGAATCATATACATAATTTTGTTTAATTTAGAAATGAATTTATGAGAAGTGGATAGAAGTGGTTACACAAGAATGCAAGGGCTGAAAGAAGAAAAAGTGAATGAAGCTGTTTAAAAAGAAAAGACAAAAGAGGAGTCTGGTTCATATGCATTACCAGAGATCAAGTTAAGTTTAGATTTTCCCTGATATTGCATTTAGCTGAGCCTCAGGTTCATTCTCCCTATCTCAAATTTTGGGGTGGAAGTCGCCCCCACAGTGGTGTATCCCAGGATGGGGTCTCTGCAGAGTTCTGCACACTAGTGCCTGTCTGAGCAGCTCACTTGCTTGACTACCACAGGATCCACCATTTTTTCACAAATGAAAAATTTGAACTTGACACACCGTGCAGTGTCTACCTTTGCATCATCAAGCTGCGCACAATCCAGGAAAAGACTTGAGCTGGCCCATTGGATCTGAAACCTGTGGAAAAATAGCAGAGATATTCATCATCCCACAGCAAAAGTCACAAACTGATATAATAATCCCCAATCCCGCTACCCATTTGATTCACAATAGCAGACAATCTCTCTAATGGGGGTTTCCCTTAGTTGATAAGCAAGTGAGTGATGGGTAAACTGTCTTCTGGCAAGAAGGTGGGGGGGAAAAGTTGATTACTGAGTGGCAATTAAAGGTTGCTGCTTCTGGCTCATAACAAATATGCACGGATGTGGTCTGCTCCTACCTGTGCAGTGACTTACAGACCAGGGGAGAAAGCTGATCCTCCCACAGTCAGGGCCTCTCAGTTCCGTTGTGATACAGCCCAATCCAGAGTGAGTCATAACGGTAGGACTGTGCTGATCGCATTTTCAAGTCCTATACGGAAATAAATGCAAGGCCTATGAAGCACATCCCTCCTTCACTCATAATGGCCTATGGTTTGGAAGAGGAGAGAGCCAAAGTAAAGTGAGCTGCTCACAGCTGTGCATAACAGAGTCTGTTCTGCAAGTGAATCTGGGCAATGCCTCCTACTCCTGTCAGTCAGTGCTGTTTTGGAGATAAGGAAAATTAATCTGCTGAGAGCTTTCAGTAGCTCTCAACTAAAAAAAAAGACAATTGAGATAACCAAAGCCTGCACATTAGCTAGGTAATGGGTATAGGATAATGACTTCCTTCCAATACCCTGGTTGCATAAGTCAGGCAGGAAGAGGCCTTTGTATCATTTGCTGTCATTGTACACAGGAAATTCAAACTACAGATGATAAAACCAGTTTTAAAGACATAACCCCATTGCCATTAAAGGTCTGGGTAGAAATTCCTTCACAGTTAAGAGCTCTTCTGGCTGTGCTTTGTCTGCTGTTTCATCTACAACTTAGGTGTCAGAAAATGAGATGTATCCTCTTCTGCTCATGTGAGAGAAGAGGCCGGGGACAGGCCAGGACAGCA